TGTTGCTGCTGTTGCTGCTGCTGCTGCGGTCGTTGCTGCAGCTGCTGCTTGGGGTCTGTACAGCAGCAAAGTCAGAGCATGCATCCACCGCTGTAGAGCTTGGGTTTAGGGTTTAGGGTTTAGGGTTTGGGGTTTAGGGTTTAGAGTTTAAGCTTTGGGGTCTAGGGTTTAGAGGCCTAGGGTTTAGAGTTTTAGGGTTTAGGGTTTAGGGTTTAGGGTTTAGGGTTTAGGGTTTAGGGTTTAGGGTTTGTACCCTGTGGGGGGGGAACACCGAGCGCCGGCCTCACAAGTGAGGCCTCTCCACAGTTGCTGCTGTTGCTGCTGCTGCTGCTCGTGCTGCTGCTGCTGCTGCTGCTGCTGCTGCTACGGCTTCTCCCCCAGCGACTGGGCACACACGTGCTCGAAGCAGCAGCAGCAGCAGCAGAAGGTGCTGCTGCTGCTGCTGCTGCTGCTGCTGCCTCTTTCTGCTTGGCGTAGCTTCCTGAAGGCGGAGAAACAAAAACTGTTAACCCTTGCTGCTGCTGCTGCTGCTGCTGCTGCTGCTGCGGCAGTTGCTGCTGCTGTTGCTTTCTGTCCTCTAAATTGGAGCAGCAGCAGCAACAGAAACAGCAGCAGCAGCAGCAGCAGCAGCAAGACCAGCAAAAGCAACAACAGCAGGAGCACCAGAAGCAACAGCAACAACAGCAGCAACACTAGCAGCAGCAGGAGCAGCAGCAGCAACAACAGCAGCAACAGCAACAGCAGCAACAAAAACAGCAGCAACAAAAACAGCAGCAACAGCAGCAGCAGCAGCAGCAGCAGCAGCAGCAGCAGCAGCAGCAACCTGAACAGCGTTCTCACTCGCCAGCAGTTCTTTAACGGGTGCTGCAATGGCCTCGATGCGTTGCCCCAGTGACCCAACCACATGCGTGCTGCTGCTGCTGCTGCTGCTGCTGCTGCTGCTGCTGCTGTAGCTGCTGCAGCTGTTGCTGCTGCAGCAGCTGTTGCTGCCTCTCCATGCTTTTGCTGCTGGGTAGGGGGGGCCTCGGCCCCTCAGCAGCTCTCTCATATCTTCGCGCTGCAGCACGCTGCTGCGGTGTGGTAGTCGTGGCTGCTGCTGCTGCTGCTGCTGCTGCTGCTGTTGCTGCTGCTGCTGCTGCTGCATCTCCCCAAGCAGCAAGGGGCCCCCTGATGGGTCTGGGGGGCCCCCATCTGCTGCTGCTTCGCGGGCAGTGTTTGCTGCCGAGCAGTTGCTGCTGCTGCTGCTGCTGCAGGAGCGGCAGCAAGGTGCTGCAGCAGCAGCAAGTGCAGCATCGTATGGCCTATGCAGCCTGCTGCTGCTGCTGCTGCTGCTGCTGCTGTTGCTGTTGCTGCTGAGTTTGCTGCTGCTGATGCAGCAGCAGTGCTGCTGCTCACCCCAATAGGAACGGCATAAACCCTCGGGGGCCCCACACCCCCCATAT